CCCCCAACCCCTTGCTCCCAGGTATGGCGTTTTCGGCAGAAGACATGGTCCGGCTCAGGAACGACCTCCTGACCAACTACAGCGTGGGTGTGCTCCCTTTGCGGAACCAGAGCAAGTCTCTACCAGTCAGCATGTCCTTCTTCCTCATCATGATACACAACCTGGTCAGTTTGACAGTCTTACCTTTGTTTTTACATGTAGAACTATAGTGTGGTCAAAAATTCGTGACACAGCGTTTTGTCAAATATCTCCTCAACAATCAATACTAAACTCTCCAGCCTTTGCACAGTGACTTGTATCGACTTGTCTTAACAGATAAACATGTTCGTAAACACTTGTTCGCTGTATTCTAGAAAATATCTAAATAAATACCAGTTTAAGAAAAAACAGCGGATGGTTTCTACAGATTTTAAAAGGCGTGGACAATAACGCTTTTAAAAGCATGTCTGTCATTGTTTTCCAATCGCAACACTATGCTTACAGAAAGCATGTTTTGAAAACCTTTAGGGTAAATAAAAGAAGTGTTCACTATAAAATGGATCTCTTGTAACAAGTTTTGCCTCTAAAAACGTTTCATTGGTGAGCTGTGACGACAGCAATATGCGTACACAAAAAGTGTGTAAGAAGAAGGAATTGCTGTGAACAATCCCATTTTTTGTGTGATGGAGATTATTAGTATTTTATATAAATCTAAGAAGAAAAGTTCTGATTTTTTTTAAAATTGTGGTGGAAAAATAATACTTAGTTTAGACAAACTGATACAGACTGCTGTGCAAATTATAGGTACCGGGTTATACTGATTCATCAGAGATATTTAAGGATAAGTTGCGCCACGAATTTTTTACCACACTATAGGTGTTTTATATTAGTGTTTTAGAGCCTGTGAAAATGGCAGCCTGCATAGCATGCTTCCAGGAAGTTGGGAATGTTTCAGAACGCTTATATTGGGTCTTCTGGGGTAATAATACAGATGTTAAAAGTGCATAGAGCGTGCTGTTGAGCGGACATTTGCGCTATACAAATTATTATGCTATCTATCTATCTATCTATCTATCTATCTATCTATTATTATTATTCTTATTATTATTATTACTAATTGTTGCTATTATTATTACGTCCCCATTCAACATCTTAGTAGTAGTAGTAGTAGTAGTAGTAGTAGTAGTAGTAGTAGTAGTAGTAGTAGTCATTATTATTACACCCCCATTCGGCGAAATGTGATAATATTATAACCAAGCGTCTGTCCACAACCTGAGTTGTTTCCCCTTGGTCTGTCCACAGAACATGAAGAACCAGGTGCTGACGGCGAGTGGCTGGCTCAAGTTTGTGAGTTATCTTACCCGCTCTACGGGGGTGGTTGGCGGGTGCTCCGCTGTGGTTTGCCCCCTCCTTATTTCTTATCAAACAGCTCTGTTTTCGTCCTTATAAATCCTCATTCTTTGTTGTGTTTGTTACTCTCTTGTAGCACCTCTAATCTTTGACACTTACATTTTTAAGACTGTATTGCGTTACAAGTGCCGTAAAAAGCTTCCTAAAACTAAAAGCTAACGTCCATAGGCAAAATAGCATGTTATCGGCCAGTTGCTCACATATTAAGCCCAATATTCTCTTTAAAATAATAATATTTAATATTATCACAGTTTCATAATCTGGGGTATTGGCTGCATGTGCTCAAGAAATATTTCAATGAAATAAAATTCTTTAATGTTGTAAGAAAAAGTATTTAAAAATACACTACATTTTTAAAAAATGTTAAAAGAATGAAACTTTTTTATTTTATTTCGCTCTCCTGATGATGTTGTTCTCTGGACTTAGAAAAGTGGAGTAACTTGCTACTGATTTATTAATTGATGTCAAATGTTTCAACAAGGAGGTGGGGTAGCAGATATGAATATCATGGTGAAATGAGGCGCTCGTCAAAATAATGAAGTCGAAGTCGAAGAAAGAAGCTTTCCCCCGCCAGTTTCGTAATTTTTATCGATTTTTAAAATTTTTGACCCAACATCTTTTATGCCTATATTAAAAAATATTTCCATAATATGAATTTTACTAGAAAACATGTATTAAGTCACTAAATATGTATTTTTTCCAATTTTCAAGAACGCTGAAACTATTGAAGTAACCAAACATTGGCGCCCATTTTCTCGCAAATTTTTCTACTTAAACCAGGCGATCCCGCCTCCTTCATTTGCAAATATCTTATCTCAACTTCTATACAAGATAGATGGGTATTAATTTCATTGAAAGCAAAGCAAATGAATAAGTTTCCAGATGATGCCAACAATGTCACATGCCGAAAAATTGATGAGCCCACGATTCCAGCGCGTCTTGACACATGTTGCGTTTGTGTACTTTTGGAAGGGACAGGAGACGAAATGAATTCTTAATCCTTTCTTGTAAGAAAAATGATTTCATAGTTTTGCTTGTCGAAGCTGGGTTTTCTTTTTTCTTTTTTTTTTTTGGTTTTGTTTTGCTTAGCTTTATTTGGGGGAATTGTGGATGTTGAGGGGGAAGGGGAGGGGGGCTGTTGGTAATACGGACGTTGTATAATTAATTTTGGTTATTTAGTTTGGCTGGCTGAGTTCCATCGTTCGTTTCTTTGGTTTACTGGGGGGGGGGTTGGACTTGGTGTTTGTTTGTTTTGTTGGGTTTTTTTGGGGGGACGGGGTTGTTTGGGTTTTTTTTTACTCTTGTTGCTTGGTTTCTTCATTCTCTCTCTCGCTCGCTGTCTCTCTCTCTCTCTCTCTCTCTCTCTCTCTCTCCCTCTCTCCCCGCCCCCTCTCAAGAGTGCAAAACATAGGCTGTCTCTTTATCTCTCATATCGTGCCTATCACCTGGTCCCCTGTGACTGCTTTGTCCCAACAAAAAAAAGTATGACAATGCTTGTGATTGTGACGTTTGTGCCTGCTGTATAATCAGACAAAAAACTTCTGTGCCACTGATCTGTTTGTATTATCACCACCCGTATTCTTCTCCTTCTTCCATTCTTTGTCTTCTTCTTCTTTTTCTTCTTCTTCTTCTTCTTCTTCTTCTTCTTCTTCTTCTTCT